GTTTTTAAAAAAAAAATTGAAAACTATTTGATATTCCGTTTAATTAATTCAAATCAATGTATAAATTATTTTTATGATTATTCGTCAATTTGAATTAATGAAGTGGGGTTTCAAATAATTTTTAATTTTTTTAAAATTTTGTTGACTTAATATATACATTAAAAACTTTTAATTCAACAGTTGAATTATTAAAATTTGACGTATACGTAGAACATGAGTTATTGAGTCTATATATAGACTTACTCTCAAAATAAGTGGATCCCTCCCTCCTCAAAGACTTTTTGCTTGTAAACCCTAGATAAATAGATTTATGTTTTTCTATTGCTTAATTGCTAAGGTGTAAGATTTAGGGATTTGTTGAGTCAATATTCAAATATATACTATCCAAATGAAAATTTCTTGAGAGCCTTAATGGATCATAATTCTAGTTACACATGGAGAAGCATCTAGAATGCTTAACATCTCATCAAAGAAGGATATAGAAGAAGGATCGGTATTGGTGTAAACATCCCAGTTTTATTCAAACACCTTCCATCGTTGGATTGCATGATAAACTGGTGCAAGATATTATCGATATGGATAATCGATGTTATGTTATAATACTCTAGTTATCAACTCTTTTCGAATTTATGGATACAACTGCTATACATAATATCCCACTTGTTAACTTGGAGGGTGAAGACAAGCATATATGGAAATGGAGCCAATATGGTTGTTACATAATGTGTTTTGCATACCATGGTTATTACCAAGACCACGTCTTACAAATAAAGCATCTAAAGGAAGAGGGAAATTAGAAGGGTTTATGGAACTTGCGAATTCCACCAAAAGTAGAGATGTTCCTGTGGTGTCTGTGTCATGACTACCTTCTATATAACAAGAATAGAACTCCAGACTCATGGAGTTGAATGCCCAACATCTTGTGTACTATGTGACAGCCACTTAGAAAAATCATGGCATCTATTAGTTGGGTGTAGTTTCGGTCAACAATGTTGGATGGTTAGTGGTTTGTATGATAACCTCTTTTGTATAATGGATGCAACAGAAAGTTTGAAAGAATTGGTCTTCCAAGCACTGGAATGCCTAGATAAGTAGAGAACAGTGGAACTTGTTATATTCCAATGGAGTATGTTGTTTGGCCGTTATGCTAAGTTGTGGGATGATATTAGTTGGGACGTTAATAATGTTGTTTCAGTTGCTCCATCTCGTGTTCTTGTTCAGTTGTTCAATAGGTACCGCCTCTTGCGGGAGTTTTAAACTGCAACATTGACGTGATCGACCTTATTTCCTGCAACTGGCTCCTTTGGAGTTGGCATATGCTTACGAGATCATGTGCCTAAATCACGAGTGTGAGACACATGCATTACGGGAGGCTTTGTTATGGGTCAAAGAACAGGGATTTGGAGCAATTTCTTTTGGAACATATTGTCGAATAGTGCCTCTAATTAATTAGTATCAGGAATACCACGAATGGTGTTTCTGAATTATTTGGCTCTTTGTTATATAAGTGTTATAACTAGTGTTCTCAGGTGTTAAGTAGTTTTCCAATCTATGATGGCAATTTTATTCCATAATAAGTTAATTCAGTGACTCATCACATGATAAGAGCAAGTGAGTTTTATGCTCAACTTCATGATTTTCATTATATATCCCTTCGACAGATTATGAATGGAATGAGTTAAATTTGTTTTGATATATATATATATATATATATATATATATATATAGAATTAAGTTTATTTATGTGAAACTAAATTTGATGAAATAAGATCCCAACAAAATTTGATATTTGAAGAAATCATATTTTAGTATTTGAAGTATTTGACAACAAGCTTAAAAGAAATTTTATTAAGTATTTTTTTGTTATAAAATAATTTAAATTTAAATTTAAATTTAAATCAATCTCTATATATAAAATACAAATGACTATCTTATATGTGAGTGCTTTTAGGATTTTTCTTAGACAAAAAAGTTTTTAAGAATTCTTTTCATTTCATATGTAATTCTATTTTTTATTTATCATAATTATTTATAAATTAAATTTAATATTTTTAAATAAATTATCAAAAAATAATAATCTTGTGCTAAAACTTAAATTATTTATCATAAATCTAAAATATGGTTTATATATCTAAAAATATCTATTTATTCAAAATTTAAATATAACTTATATATTCAAACATAATATGCATAATTATTTTAAATTTTAGTTATATAATAAACATTTAACATATACATTACACAAAATATAATATTAGTTAAATTAAGTGTTTGATTTTTGTTATGTACGAAAATTTGTCATACTAGCAATAATTATAATACAGTGAAGATTTAGTCTATAATTGACAAAGTTAAGAGATACCCGTGGTATATATATATATATATATATATTTTAAAATATTTTTAACATATATATATAAAACCTTATGATTTAGATTTTGGATAGCCGAAAATGTGTTATACGGCAAGAATTAAGTAAAGTTTATGAAGGAATGGTTTTCATTATTTTTATCACCGACTACTTAATAAGTTAATCATTTATATATTGTCAGTGTAAAAAAATTTTATATTGGTAACTAATTATATTTTTTAGTTGTGTCATGTCACTATAAATATATTTACTTTTAACAGTAACATGATATAATTAAAAGATATAATTGATTATCAATGTAAAAAATTTTACACTAATAGTGTATAGGTGATTAACTCTTAATATATACTTCCCAAGTAGTTATCAATTGTGAATAATGAATCCGCACATATAGACGTAGACTGAATATTAGCTTTGCGTAGCGTCATGGAATTTTCCCAACATAACCATTCAAAGTTCTTTATGCAAATATGCTTTTGTTGACGATCCCAACCATGCAAATGAATCGGAAATGGATCTCCTGACTTTGTAGAGGGAAAGTTAGGGTAACTTAATACATTTTAACCGTTAGATTTGTAATAAATGATCAGATTGTGACACGTGTACATTTAAGTTAAAATATATATTGTACACGTGTCACAATCTAATTTATTTTTATACATTTAACGGTTGAGATGTATTAAGTTACCATAACTTTCTTTCCCCAAAGTCAGAGAATCCGGATCCAAATGAATCCTTATTGTGTCTGAACTTTGTGGCTATCACCTCAAGTCCTCAACCAAAACCCACGCAAATTAAACCCTAATTTCTCCCTGACTTCTGGCCTAAATTAAACCACATATGTCAAGTGTTATATTTTGTGCACGCAAACAACACTTCATTTAGTGAAACAATCAGAAACAAAGTTACTATAAGGAACGGGTTTTGGATAATCTAACTTGTCAAGACTTTCCAACTGTGAAATCAAGCAATCTAGCTATAACTTGACGTTATAAAATTTAGAGTCTATTTGGATAAATATTTTTGAAAGTTTATCTATTAAAATAAAGAGTTATTTTTTTATTAAAAAACTCGTAAACACACATCTAAACTTATATTTAAATATATTATTAAGTCAATGAAGCTTCACAAGAGAGTTCGAAACATAAATTGCTTCAAGGAAAGAAAAAATAATGCTTCAAGAAAGAAAATAAACTTCTTTTAATTATTTATTTTTTTTGTACGAAGAAACAACGATAGCTTGTACGCCATAACATTAACACGGGCGGCTGGAGGCCGAATAATTCAAACCTATATATGCGACCTCTTACTATCTATAAGAAATTATTCAAAATACTAATATTTTAGGTTGTACGCATAACATTAGTTTTAAAAAACATTCTTGGCTTTATTTTCTAACAAATAAAATTTATCTATTTATTATAAAACATTATAAATACTTTCAACTAATAAATAGTTTCCTTTTAAAAAATAAACTACGCATTGATCTTATCAAATACGATGGAAACCAATAAACCATGGTCAACGGGTTCATTTTTATTTTTTTTCTAACGTTGTGGTTAGGTGTTGCCTTTTAGCTTATATTTATTTATATATATATATATATAAAAAGGGAGTTAATTATAATAAACTATTCCATGGGTTTTTTAAAAAAAAAATAAAATGTGTTAAGTTGTCATCACATAGTTAAAATATTTTATTTATAATAATAATAATTATTATTATTATTAAGAAGATTTTTTTTTCCTTTGTTACATGTGGAAGTTAGAATTTGATCCTTTCACAAAATATGGAGCCCAAAGGTTTTGCATTATTATACGATGGGCTAACCCACTTTACAAGGTTCACCAGAAAACAGTTCACTGCAAAATATTCCTTTAAAATATTCCTGTATTTAGAAGAAAAAAAAATTTGAAGGGATGTATTTAGAAATTTAAGAATTGTTATAATTACTATTATATTTTTTTTTGTAAATGAACAAATAATCAAAATCTTACTTCTTTTTTTCTCTCTCTTTCAGTTTCTTTTGGTAGTTCAAGGCTCAAGCTAGGGTTATTTAGGGTTGGACCAACCATGCATTTTAATTATGGATTATCACAATTCACACACTCATGACTCATCACATTTACTACCGAATTAATAAATTCAAAATTTTCTTATTAGTATATCTTTATTTGACGGATTAAAAATTCATCTCCAAAAATATTAAATTGAAAATGTCATATTCTCACATTTGTTTAGAATTTCAAAAAGAATATCCTTAAATATAATTTATTTTCAAAAAAATAGTAACATCATCATTCACTTTATTTTGGTTCCCCATGATAAAATATAAATAAAAAAAAATTGTATTCTTATGGATAAGTGAAAAGTTATATTTTAACTCATTCTTTTAATTAATTTCAAATTTTTAAAATATTTTTAACAAGGTTAAAATATTATCAAACACATTTTTAAATATTCTAAAAAATAATATTCTTGAAATTATGATTTTTGCAAAAGTTGTAACATACTTCAAAACAAATGTCATTAAAATTAACAAACTTTGATGGTATTAGCATAAATATTAGAGATTTTTCCCTTTGTGTGGTGTCTAATATAAAAAGGGTGTAGTAGTACAAGTAGGAGTTTATTTAACATAGATATGTTTTGGTTAAGAGAAGATGATTAGTGAACACCCTGACAGATAAAGGTGCTATAAAATGGTTCACGTTTAGCTCCCACGTCTTGTTCACATCTTGCATTGCACTCTTTTGGAATTCAAATTTCGCATTCAATCTCTGTAACCGACAGATAAAGGCGACAATACCTCATCTTCCCTCTCACACTATCAATAATCATGCACCTACAGGTAGATGCTCTAACTTCCTTCTTCCTCATCCTCTGTTTTTCCTCTGTTCTAAAACAGAGACCTCACTTTCCTCTCTCTCTCTCTTTTTTTTTTTCCTCGCAGAAGCCGACACTCGCAACGACCCTTTTCGCTGTTTTGCTCCTTATCCATTTCTCATATGCTCTCAAGGTACAAAGTAACAACTTTAACCCTTTTCGGTAACTTTTTTTTGCTTTTTTCTTTGATGAACCGGTTTCTGAATGAACCCGACATTCTTAAACAGGAAGGACAAACATGCGTGGCAAACAGGAACTGCGACTCGGGTTTGCATTGCGAAACGTGCGTGGCGAATGGAAACGTGCGACCACGGTGTACTCGCATACAGCCAATCAACCCCACTTCAAAGGTCTCACCTTTTTCATTTTTTTGAGTTTTTTGAGGTTTTGCATGAATGAAAGTGGTGTCTCATGAAGTGTGTCTCTGTTTTTGAATAGGTAAAAGGTTTGGCGTTTAATCGGTATTCATGGCTGACGACGCATAATTCATTTGCGGTTTTGGGTCAGAAATCAAAGACGGGTTCTGTTATTCTGGCTCCCACGAATCAGCAGGACACCATCACAGACCAGCTTAATGTGGGTTCTGTTACATTTTCATTCATTTTTATTTTTTTAACAAAAAGTGTATGGAGTTGCTTATCTTTTAATATTAGAGTTTGGTTGAGCACCAGCTAAAAATATTTTTTTAGAGTTTCTCTATAAAAAAAAATAAAAATAAAAAGTATTTCTTAATTATAAAAGAGAAATAGTATTGGTAGTCATATAAGATACCTAACATATTCTCTCTTAATGAAGTCTTTATTAATTGTTAAAGTCCATTTAAAACTGCATAATTATAGTGTTAAATTTTAATAAATAGTAAGTTGAAGTAAATGTGTTGGAGAAAATAAGAATGTTAGAGGGTAGGTGTTAGAGAAATGAGTATGTTTGAGGATATATTAATAATATTTTTCTTACAATAAATAATACACGAATAATTCTAAATTTTCTTGTAACTTTTTTCCTATTAATCCTCGTACTTCTTTTATATGGTAAGTATTAAATGTGTTCTATATCTTCAAGACATTAAATATTTTATTTTTAAGGTAGTAAGAAGATTTGTATGAAAATTGGTAGAAAAATATAACATTACTTATGGTATATGCATGATAAGAGGTGAGTTTATTGATTTTTATAAACGTGATCCTAAAGATAATTTTTAATGATTAACAGTCTGAAAATGTATATATGTCTATTAAACTAATTTTAATTAAAAAGAATAGCAGAAATATTTAGTGTATCCAAGTTTTGTAAATATTTTGTAAATAATGGTATTTGGTTACTAGGAGAAATTTGAATTCCAGAAAAGTGGAAGTTAAGAAAAGGAAAGAACTTTGAAACTTTAAGCAGCTGTTGGGAAATCATTTGTCGTGTCTCTCATTGTTTTCATTCTACTTACCGGGAAAGTAAAGCTTCTGCATTCTGCTCATTGCAGCAGAACAATCTTTCTTTTCAATTAATTTTTTAACTGAAAAAGTCTAGAAGTGGTTATGGGGGTTGCTTGCTGCAGGATAAATTGCTATTATGAAAGTTTAGCCTGAATTGTGCCATGTGAGAAATTTTATTTTAAAATAACTAAACAAATAGATATTCTTTACACTGTTGAATAGTTGAAATAGTTACAGATAAAAAAAAAGTTCAATTAGTTACTAGTTTAGTTGGATTAGTTAGGGACTTAATGTGAAATGGAATTTTTTTAATCTTTTTAATGACATGCTTACATTGTTGAAGGCCCACCACTAAGGAAGATGCCATTATCTGTTTTCCTATATACAAGAACATCTTGCATGTGGGGATTTATATATCAAATTGACTTAACAAGTAGGATTTGTTTTTTCCATAGTTGAATAGTTCAAGTTATTACTAGTTTAGGTTGTTTGAGACTTGGTGTGCAACGTTAATTACTTTTTGTATTTAGAATGTTTTAATATTTTTATTGACACGTTTAGAGTTGTTGGCACAACAGGCATGAGCCATGAAGGAATGGGTCAATGTTCAAAGCAGTAAAGACATCTAATTTGTATTCTCATAGTAAAAATAATTGTGTTTAAAGAACGTTGGCAAAATTGATTTTGTAAAATTGACTTTGATATTATGTAATTTATGTTTAATTTTTAATTATCAAGTTAACGGTAAAACTCATTATAAAATCTTTTATCCAACGTAAAAATAAAAAAATAAAAAAACTACTTAAATTTGTTTCTGCTCATAATCAATTTTGGAATCAGAATCAATTTTTTATTGTAAAACCAAACATGATACGAATTGAATAGCATCATTTTTACTAAAACAATCAAAGATACATAGTACAAAGCAGATGAAAGAGAAGTTATTCCTTGTGAATTTAGCCATGCTTAAAAGAAATGTAAAATGATTTGAGTTCAAGAGTTTTGTAACCTTATGCATACATTTCACATTTCTGTCGCAGAATGGTGTACGAGGGTTGATGCTTGACATGTACGACTTCCAGAATGATGTTTGGCTGTGTCACTCATTTGGTGGCCAATGCTACAACTATACAGCTTTTGTAAGTAATTAAGAAATGTCTTAGTTGTAGTTGCTGTTCCAAAATAAGAATAATGCAATGACAAAATTGTATTTCTCAGTGACTATGAAATCTGGTCACGCTTTGATTTCAAATTTTCAACAATTAATACTTACCTAAAATTTGAACAATGCAGCAACCTGCCATCAATGTTCTCAAAGAGATTCAAGTATTTCTAGACTCAAACCCATCAGAGATTGTTACAATTTTCATTGAGGATTATGTAACATCTCCAAAAGGCCTAACAAAGGTGTTTGATGCTGCTGGACTGAGAAAATTCTGGTTTCCAGTGTCGAGAATGCCCAAAAATGGTGGAAATTGGCCAACGGTAGATGATATGGTCAAGAAGAATCAGCGTTTAGTAGTCTTCACTTCAAAAGCATCTAAGGAATCTTCTGAAGGGATAGCTTATGAATGGAGATATTTAGTGGAAAACCAATGTAAGGTTGAAACATTCTTTATTAATATTTTCATTCCTTATTTAATGAATTTTAACTCATGATTGGGTAATTTTTCATATGCTTTAACTAGAGTGTGTTGCTGGTATTCCTGATATTGGTACATTAATGGTAATGGGGTTTTGAGAATGCAATTTGCAGATGGAAATGGAGGGATGAAGGCTGGTTCATGCCCAAATCGTGCAGAGTCACCAGCTATGAACACAACATCAAGATCATTAGTTCTAGTGAATTTCTTTAGAGATATTCCAGATGTGACCAAATCTTGCAAGGACAATTCGGCTCCTTTGCTTAGCATGGTCAATACTTGTTATGAAGCAGCTGCCAAACGTTGGCCTAATTTCATTGCTGTTGATTTCTACAAGGTCTTATAATATTACCCTTCATCATATGATCATCTTATAGAGGAAGTTTTTTTTTTTTTAATAAATTTCCTCAGAAGTACTTGGAGAAAAAATAAGAAAGAAAAATAAAATTAGTTTTTCTATGAACTAAAATGCATAAACTAATTTTAGGATATACAAAAGTTTATTTCACTTTTCTTTCATATTTTCTTATTTTTCATGTGTCTGTGAAAAAGTCTATCTAAACAAGTCTTTAAGAGGATATTTTTGCAAGTATACATAGTTAACTTTTTTACATTGATGTTTCAGAGGAGCGATGGAGAAGGAGCTCCAGAAGCAATAGATGTTGCCAATGGTCATCTAGTATGTGGATGTGAAAACATAGCCTCGTGTAAGGTAAGGAGAAATTATTACATGATCAGACTAATCTATGTGTGACACATGATACGTGTCATATAAAGATTACTCAAGAACATGTGATCCAATAGTAATAATTTTTGCTGAGGTCCTCTTGAGTTTGGCTAAAGAGTGATGAATTTGGATTTGTTCAGGCTAACATGACATTTGGAGCATGTCAGCAACCTGAGGCTATAGCCACTCCTCCCAATGCAGCAGCACGTGACTCTAGCTTTGGCATTAGAAATTGCAAGCCAGTGTGGTCTTATGCCACCATTGTTTTTGGGGCTATGCTCGTGGCATTGTGAACATAATTCCCCTTGATAAAATGCATGCAGAAGAGAGTAGGAGAAAGTGTGTGAAGAAAAGAAACCATTTTTGGGTGCTGTGCAATGGTTTTTATTTGATTTTAATTTTGAGAGAGGAGCTTTGGAAGGTGTAGTTGTAATTTTTAAGTCATAGTGGGTATGCAATGGATTCTGATCTCTAACTTAATATTGCTGAGTTATGAGTGTGCAACATGTGGTGAAGGGTATGCTATCATTGATTTAATGGCGCACTCGAACCAAAAATTATACAATCCATGTAACAATTATCCATGGGTATATTTGACATAGCTATACACCTTGTGTAAGATAAGCCTTTAATATACCACTGACTCAGAGTACTACTATTATTTTTTTAATTTTCTACCTTAGGTAATGTTATTATGTAAGAATGAATTTAATGTCTTGTAAAATTATAAAATTAATGTATACTCATCAGAAATATATTATACGCAAGTTTAAATTTATATCACCAACTATCAAATAACTTTTAAAAACTAGTATATTTATTTATAAAAAAATTTAATTTAATAGTTTGATTGTTGAAATTGAGTAGAATAATTTTACCAAAAATTATTATTGGAGTAACTTAATCTCTACCTAAAGATTGTCGCTTACTAATCTTTGTTTAGGATTTTGGTTATCCAAATTTAATAAATTCATTTCTTTTAATTACGATTTTTCTGTCTACAAAATTTAAATATGAGATCTTATGAGAAATCTAAGTTCATTTATATTCGAACCAATGATTTGTTAATGATGTTATATAAACAATAAATAATAATAGGTTAAAATATATTTTTGTTTTTTTAGTTGCAATTTAGTTCTCAAAATTTTAAAGAGTTTCTCTTTGGTTTCTTTAAGTTGTGACGATGTGTGATGCAAAAAATTGACAAAAAAAAAAAAAACCAATTCGACTAGTAAAAATACTTTTAGGAAGTAAAGTGAAACTTCTTAAACTTAAAAACCAAACTGAAATCTAAAATAAAAATAAAATACCAAAATTCTATTTTAGCCATAATAATATAAAAGATATTAGATTGATCCATGCTAAAAAAAAATTACTTTTTTAAGTATGGGTAGTTTGTTTGTTTTTTTTTTTTTTATCATTACTGGGACATTTAATTTGATGAGATTAAAAATTGGTTTGGGGGCTTAGGCTTATATTTTTGTACAAGAAATTGGTATGGGCCCAATAGTCAAAATTAAAATAAAAACACCTTAGGTTCAGGGCTGATGATATATACACCTCCTATCTTTTATAAGTACACCTTCAATCTCTTTTTTTTTTATAAATAAAATTTTTAAAATATTAATCTAATTAAAATTTTATTTTAAGTTCTATTTTTAAATTTATTTTTTACTCATCTCTTTTTTTTTTATTTTTTTTTCTTTCTTCTTCTTTTTTTTATTTTCTTTTTTCATCACTCTAGTCATTTTTTGATGATTTTATTTTTTTTCGTTTTTCATTCTTGATTTTTCTTCTTTTACAATCAACATAATCATATTTTATCTTTCTATCTTTTAAATCCTTTTTCACTTTTTACTCTATTATTTCTTAAACCTTAATTTTTCATTCAATCTTCATTATTCTCTACATTCAATACAAGGTACAAATTAATATATTAAATTACATTTTATATTTATAATTTTTTTTAACTTATTTAACATTACTTATGGACAACAGAATCGTAGACGACGATAGTGAATGAGGAGATAAAGAAACACGCAAGTTAAATTTGTCATACTGGAAAATAAGATTCGAAATTTAATTTTAGCATTCCAGAAAGTACTTTCCGGAATAGTAAAATTATTATTCCAAAATGCATTTTCTGGAAGTTTGTTTCTTATATAATTCCGGAAAGAACTTTCCAGAACAGTAACTTTAGTATTCTGGAAAGTACTTTCCGGAATCGTGTAACAAAAATTTTCCAGAAAATACTTTCTGGAATAAAAACTTTATTATTCCGGAAAGTAATTTTCAGAACAAAAACTTTACTATTTCAGAAAGAGGGGTGGGGGAAAAAGAAAGAAGAAGGGGGTGCGGGAAAAAGAAAGAAGAAGAGGGGTGCAGGGAAGAGAAAGAAGAAGGGTGCAGGTGCGGGAAAAAGAAAAAAGAAGAGGGGTGCGGGGAAGGAGGAGTGCGGAGTGCGAGAAAAACAAAAAATAAGAGGGGTGTGGGAAAAAGAAAGAAGAGGGGTGCATGGTGCAAATTTAAAAATTATATATATATTTTTTAAGAAAAAGATAATTTAGAGATTTTATATATTTTATAAAAAAAAGGGTGTGTTTATATGAAAACGGAGGTGTATTTATCATCACCATTGGTTCAGACTTAGCCGGGCCCACCCTTGTTACTAGGTTATGGCATGGTTCGACAAGAGGAAAAGAGAAAAAAACACTGGGCCGAGCCATACCTTGTTGGCTAATGATATATACACCTCCTTTTTTTATAAATACATCTCCTTTATTTTTTTTTATATTCTTTTAAAAATATTTATAATTTTTTATTTTTAAAATTTTTAATTTTACATCTCTAACTTTTAATTTACTATTTTTTCTTTTCTCACATCTCCTTCCTTCTTTTTTTCAATTTTCACATGCACCATCTTATCTTCCTATAATTCCTCACCTATTTCAATGGGTAGTTTTACTTCTCTTGATTTTTATATTACTCTCTTATTTTCTCACCTCTTTCACTTTTTTACATGAACCCAAATCATAAAATTAGTAGGCGACAACATTATAAATACGTGTAGCTTTTTTTATAATTTCTATCAAACTAGACATACATTTTTTCTTCCAACACTTCCTTTCCTTTCATCCTTCCAAAAATCTTAATATTAAGTTTAGTGTTATGAAAAAGACATTTTCACTATTCTAAAGTATTATATAGATAGTGAAATCAGCGAGAAAACTGAAAGAGGAAGGAAAAAAATAATGTAAAACTAAAAGAATTAAAATTATCTACTAAAATAGGTGGAGGTGAAGAAAAATTAAGGTGGTGCATGTGAAAATAAAGAAAAAAAGTATGTAAAAAAGTGTTAAATTAAATATTAAGAGTATAAAATTAAAAAATTAAAAAATTAAAAAATTAAAAATTAAAGATATTTTGAGAATTTAATTATTATTTTTAAAAGTACTTATTAAAATAAAAATAAAAAAGGAGGTGTATATATTATGATCCTACCTTGTTATCAGAAGAAAATGAATTGGACCGAATTAACAATCCGATACAACAAGTTTATAAAATAGAGACTGTGAACGTATGCATTTATGTTTTATCAAATAAATTTCAATTACTGATAATATAAAAAAAAAAAAAAAAATCGATTAGGAATTAGTCATATGTCATAATGCTTTGGAGTCATCTTCATCTTAGTTATTGTATAAACATTAATGAAAATGATTATTCAAATTAACATTGCAAAATCAACATGCATAATTAATTGAGCAACTAAAATTAGGATTATACTCGATGCAGAAAATTCAGCAATATGGATATGGATGTTAATGAGTTTAGCTATTTGTAAATTATTCATGTTTCACATTTAAATGTTCCATCAAGTTCGTTTGTTTAATTCAATAAGTTTAAACTTGAGATTGAGCTAAATTATTTAAGTGAATCAAAGCCAAATTTTAAAATTTTCACATTAACAACTTTTGAATAGCTCAATTATTAAAATTGATGATAAGGATTACACTTGTCTTTGTTGTTTACATATTCCTAGGGGGGCATTGGGCAGGTGTTAAATGGTCAGATTTGTTCTGATCAGAAGATTCGGGGTTGTCAAGAACCTGATTAGCAACGTGAACTTGCTTGTTCTTAGAGAAGTAATTAGGAGGATATCCTACAAAACAGATTTCCAACAAGAAGAAGAGGAAGAAGGATTCAGCTACTGGTCTTTTTGTATTCCCTGTGCAGTCTAGAGTAACTGGGGCCAAGTATTCTTACCAGTGGATGGCGTTGGCCCAGCAGAACAACTGGCATGTCTTACTGGATGCTGGATCATTGGGCCCCAAGGACATGGATTCGCTTGGCTTGTCCCTATTTCGGCCAGATTTTATAATTACGTCATTTTACAGGGTTTTTGGATATGATCCCACAGGTTTTGGTTGTCTTCTGATCAAGAAATCGGTGATGCAAAGCCTTCAAAATCAGTCTGGTTGTACTGGATCTGGAATGGTGAAGATTACCCCCGAGTTTCCAATGTATTTGAGTGATTCTGTTGATGGTTTGGATAAATTGGTTGGGATTGAAGATGATGAAATCACTGGGATGGGTGATAAGGCTTCTGAAACTCGTCCGGGAACTCAGTTGCCTGCCTTTTCTGGTGCATTCACATCTGCACAGGTAAGAGATGTGTTTGAGACTGAAATGGATCAAGACAGCTCTGAAAGAGATGGAACTAGCACCATATTTGAGGAGACAGAGACCGATTTCTTGATCAGAAGACAACCAAAACCTGTGGGATCATATCCAAAAACCCTGTAAAATGACGTAATTATAAAATCTGGCCGAAATAGGGACAAGCCAAGCGAATCCATGTCCTTGGGGCCCAATGATCCAGCATCCAGTAAGACATGCCAGTTGTTCTGCTGGGCCAACGCCATCCACTGGTAAGAATACTTGGCCCCAGTTACTCTAGACTGCACAGGGAATACAAAAAGACCAGTAGCTGAATCCTTCTTCCTCTTCTTCTTGTTGGAAATCTGTTTTCTCAAATCTGTGGAACAGAGTTTGAGGGTTGGCCATTTAAACCACGCACTGTACACTTTAGCACCTTTCTCCCTGGCTTTCTGAGCCATCCAAGCAACAGACTGGCTCTCGTGATCGAACATGGTCAACAACTTTTTGTTTGTCTGGAAAGGGTCCGATTCAGCCAGCAATTTAAAAGCCGATCCTCTACTAACAGTGAAAACAAGGCCATATTCATTCTCAGGAATATTCAAATACCACATTCTCAAATGATTTCTCCCCTAACTATTGAATAGGACCAAAATTGGGTCATCATTGGGCTTTATAGGGCTTTGCACTACTCATTAAACAAACAAGCACAACTTGAAACGAAGTTCAACAAGTTGCTGTCTTGCCTCAATATTTGATGGGCTCCTTCCTTCCATGGTGTGTTCTTTAGCTTTCAAGGAGGAGCTCCCTCTTTCTCCACATTCTAGGAAGAAAGATGATGGTTGGATGTTCCTTAAGGGTGGTGGAAAAATAATATTGAAGGGTGGAGATGAAGGTGGGCGAAAATGGAGGTGGGAAGGTGGAAGGTGTTTTTGGTGCTCTTGGCTAACTCTCTCCACTAAGGGTTGGTGGAGGCCACTCAAGGAAACTCAAACTCTCTTTAGGGTAGAG